TAAACCCCCAACAAGTCCGTGAAGCAGGGAGGATCCCCATTCTGCAGATGAGGAAACTGAGGCTCAGAAAGGTCTGGCCCAGTGCCCAGAGTGGCACAGCCAGGAAGTCACAAAGCTAGGGCCCCGTCCCAGCTCTGCCCAAGTGGCAGTCCAGGGAGACATCAAATCAGAAGAGCACAAAGGGCTCATCTTCCTCCTAAAGCGCTGAATGAAAAAAGAGGGCGGAAGGTAAGCAAGCGGGTTACAGGAGGGAAATACGGCCTCGGGACAAGACGAGGGCGAGGGGCACTCATTGGGGCCGTGCGGCCCAGGGTCTGAGGCCACAACCGGCTGGCAAGGCTGAGGGCAACGGGCCCTGTTGTTCACGGTGAGGATGCGAAGTGGGACAGCCCCGCGGCGGGGCAAACCAGCGGGTCCTGCAAATGACAACCGCGTCCAGCTCTGCACAGGCGACCGCCATCCCCAACCGCGCACGCACACTACGTCCACACTGAGCGTCGCCCCGAGGGCCTGGCAAACTGACTGTAAGCGAAACAAGGGATCACGACACCAGCCGGACCACAGGCTCATTGATCTAAACAAAAGTTCCTGGGACAGGTATCTGGTCACAAAAACATCCCCACACGTCGAAATAAAGACCCAAAACATCTCATATTAAGCACAGAAATAAATGTGAGCTATACGTACGTTTAAGAAGGATGACTACAAACAAGATGATGGCCCTGGCCGGCCAGGCTCCAGGGTTAGGCTGGGCCTGTGCCCCAGAGGGTCGCAGGTTCAATCCCCGGCCCCAGGGGGCGCCTGCAGGAGGCAACCAATCAATGTTTCTCTCTCCCCACCTCCCTTCCACTCTTTCTAAAACTCAATGGAAAAAAATATCTTCATTCCTCAGGTAAAGATTAAAAAAAACAACAACACACAAGATGATTTTCCAACCCATTACTCTAGTTCGTGGGCTCTCTCGGCAGCTCGGGGCCCAAGGCGGGCACCCACCCTGGACAGGACACCTGTCCGTCCCAGGGCCGCGCACACCCGTACTCACCAAGGCGGGGACGATGCCGACCCACCGAGTAGCCCAGCGCACACACCTCTGCAGCTGGGAGGAAACCGGGGCACCCGGAGAAGCCCACGCGGACATGGGGGGCGCGTGCAAACTCCACAGATAGTGGCCCCGGCAGGGGAGCCATTTTTCTCTCTCCTGGTTACGATGCTGAACGAAATGACAGGACCAGGCTGAACCTGCGCATGTGCACAATTGTGCACAATGACGTGGGCACGCACGAGGTACGTGGGCACGCACAAGGTACGTGGGCACGCACAAGGTACGTACACACCAGCTGTGACTCAGGCCACCCAGGCAGACCTCGCTGAGCCTCAGTGTTCCCACCCTGCAGCAACCAGAAGGCAAGAGCCCTCTCTCCATGGGCTGAATCCAAAAACTCTCCAAGATGCGTTTACGAAAAAAGGCAAGTGGCCGCTCTGTGGGTTCAGCAGAAACCCTCACCCCGAGAATCCCCTGGGAGCGTCTACAGCGAACAAAGGCGGACCCCACCCCCGAGATCCCAATCGAACTGGTCTGGGGTGAGGCCCCTGCATCGCCTTCTTTTAGGGGGCTACTCCCACAGGCAACCAAAGCTTCAACCACTTGCACAGAATGCTCTTTTGTGGGGGGGAAAAAATGAGGCAAAACCAAGAATATGCATTCCTACTTGCTTGTATTTTCAGAAAGAAACTCTAAAGGAATTTGCACAAACAAGAATGGAAGTAATTACTGGGTGGGGAGGGATGGGAAGATGGGGAACGAGAGGTATGGGGGAAGTTTTACTCCATCCCTTCAAATATTTTGAGAGCCATGTGAAAACATTCTGTCTTCCGAAACAAAAATGAGTCATTTAATTACATGAAATACAATAATCGGGTGTGGGACAAAGTTTCGATAAATGTTAGTTAAGTGAAAAAAAGAAAGAGAGAAAGGAAGGGAAGAAGGGAGGGAGAGGTGGAGGGAGGGAGCACTTTAATTACAATCACACCCATGCACTGTACATGAGCAGAACTGGCTGTGAATCATGAAGTCCTCACCGAGGAAGCAAAGATGTGCCTCAAAATGCTCAACGACATACATCCTGCTTCTCACCCCCAAACTGGAACCAACCCAAATGTCCATCAACCAGAATCTGGATACAAAAGTTGGGGCTCAATCCCATAATAAGATACTTTGCAGCCACTCAAAATAACGAGGTAATAGAACTGTTTTTTTACTGTTAAGTAAAAAAAAAAAAAAAAAAAGGGCACGTTGTCAGATGCTCTGAAGAATGTTGCCGTGTTTCCTAGACGGTATGTACTCTGCGTTACCTCTATCTGTGTCTAGCCCAGGGCTCCTCGGCCTGGGAGCCGCGTTCATCGCCGTGAGGCTGATGACTGTCTGCAGTGGGGCCGTCCTGGGCATTGGGGGGGGCTGGGCGGCACCCCTGGTCTCCAGCCACTAGATGCCGGGATCATACTCTCCCCCAGTTGTCACAACAGAGAAAGTCTCAAACTTTGTCAAATGGGCCCTGAGGACCAACTGTGCAAGACTGAGAAGCGTGAATGGGCCTGGAGGGGCGTGCCCCAGTTCCTGCACCAGACTCATCCTTTTGGGGGCGATTTTCTTTCTAAACCGTCTGTTTCTATAATATTTTAGGTTTTACACAAGCATGCACTACCTTCTGCAATAAGGAAAATACGATTATAAGTAAACATATATATGACTGACAATCTGTCATGTAGGGGAGTCCCACAGGACATCAAAAACTGCCCCATTGGCTGCATCTGGGGGACGGAAAAGGGGATGGGGTCCCGGGGGAACACTATTTTAGGCACTTTTGTAAGGTCTGAATTTTCAGCGACCAACGTTGTGCACTTCTGTATTGCTTGTGTGGGTTTTCACTTTTTAAAGATGAAGAACGAGATATCTCTGGGCAGGAGCGGAGAGCAACGGGACCTGGTCCAAGGCCTCCCAGTCCTTAGTGAGGAAACGGATCCCCTGACAACAGCGCTGCTGGGCCCGCACACCCGGGGCGGGCGTCCAAGGCCGGACGGGCCCTCCACCCTGCGGGCTCCGCTGCCAGCAGGGCCCCGAGGAGGCACTGCAAACAGCCTCCGTGTCGCATTTCCCTGGTCTCCTCCCTCTCCCCGCGCTCCCACAAGAACCCCGGGGGTGGGGACAGGTGGCTCCCCTCTCGAGAAGCACCTGTGCAGAAGCCAGGGGCAGGCCCTGAGCTCATGCCCAGTGGGTGCCCGGCGCGTGCTGGGTGCTTTATCTCCGTTCAGCCTAGGAACAGGACTTTGAGGCAGGGATCCCTGTTAACTCTGGTGGGGAAACCGAGGCTCAAGGAGGCCAAGTTCCTGCTTTACACACAGCTGGTAAGTGGCAGAGTAGAGATGTGGGTTCAAAGCCAAACTCCACCCCTAACCTTGGGTGAACCTTCATCTCATGATCTCCGTTGAAATAATTCTATTGTTGCATTTCCACAACATCCCTTTCCCAGTTGGACCCCTCTCTCTTTTTAAAAAAATATACATATATATGTTTTTATTGATTTTTAGAGAGAGAGGAAGGGAGAGGGATATAGAGATAGAAACATGATGAAAGAAGATCATCGATTGGCTGCCTCCTACACACACCCCACTGGAGATTGCACCTGCAACCCAGGCATGTGCCCTAACTGGGAATTGAACTGTGACCTCCTGGTTCATATGTTGACACTCAACCACTGAGCCACACCAGCCAGGGTGTGTGAGGGTTTTTCCTTCCATTACTGAGCATGGCGCCAGGCAGGATGGAAGAGTCTGAACGTTAAAAAGCCCTGAAAACAGCCTCGGGCAAAGACAGAAGCAAACCAGAAAATAAATACTCCAGGTTCCTCGCCCCTTGGACAGGACAACTCGGAAGTGGTCTATGCTGCTTCCCCGGGGCCTCCAGTGAGAATGAGGGTTAGTGGCCCAGAGTGGTACCTTCATCACCTGCCTTCCCTTCCCTGCCTCCCTGCTCCACTCCTCTTCCAGCTCCTCTGAGGATCACCTCTCAAAACAATACTTTCCAGAACCTGCTTCTGTGGGAACCCAAACCACAAAAGAGGGATTGCCACACGAGGCTCACATAAGATGGCTCATTCACACACTCAACAAATATTTCTTGAACGTTCACAAAACGTCAAGCAGAATGCTGACGTCTGGGATACAATAATGAACTTGACACAACACACTGGAATACAGCAGGTGCTCAATAAATGATACCTACTGTTATCATCATTCTAGGCCAGAGGTTTCAAACTCGTAGCTAAATGGAGCCAGCAGACACTTTTCTTTTTATTCATTTGGACTGAAGAGAATTTTTTAGTAAGCTGTCCTCATTTCATGGGGAAAAAACCTGGATTGCTTTTTCAGATTCTCTTGATAAACCAGGTCTGCCCTCTCAGGACCACCATTCCCACTTGTCAAGAACCAGCAGGAAATGAGCAGCACTTGTCCCTTCAGACAAGGCATGAGCTTTCCATTAGCCACAATCCCCACCACTCCCCAGAGCAGCGGTTCTCAACCTGTGGGTCGTGACCCCTTTGGGGGTCGAACGACCCTTTCACAGGGGTCGCCTAAGACCATCGGGAAACACATCTATAATTACATATTGTTTTTGTGATTAATCACTATGCTGTATGTTCAATTTGTAACAATGAAAATACATCCTGCATATCAGATATTTACATGACGATTCATAACAGTAGCAAAATGACAGTTATGAAGTAGCAACGAAAATAATTTTATGGTTGGGGGTCACCACAACATGAGGAACTGTATTAAAGGGTCGCGGCATTAGGAAGGTTGAGAACCACTGCCCTAGAGTCTCACACCCGGGCTGACTCTCATTTCCTTACCCACCTGGCCCACGTAGGTTCTGAGTTTGATACCCCTGGCCTTCGTGTGTAACCAGCGTCTCACAACACAGAAACTGCCTTCATACTCACCTTTTGACTGTCTCGAGTCCCCGAGTCCCGCCGACAGGGCCCCGTTTTGGTTTCCTTGGCCTCCGAACTCTCCCCAGGGAGGCTGGGCCTCCCTTTGGGCTGCTCTCGCCTCCTTTCTCTGGCTTCCTGCATGATGGACAGGCCCTCTCGGATTTTGGCAGGGGCACTCTTCTCCGAATAGGCCCTTTTGACGTCCAGCGGTGACCTGCCACAGTCCTGCGGGTGGTCACCCCACTGGGCCACACGGCCCTCCTCTCCCCGCCCGGCGCATTTCCTCGGGGACCCTTTCTTCCTGTCCACTGGGGAGGATTTGGCCAACACACCGGCTCCATGGCTGGGGTCCTCCCAGGCGGCCAGGTAATCCTGATGCTTTGCACCGTGATGTTTACTAGCAAAGGCCTTGGCCTCGTCCTCAGCGATTCCCGAGACCTATTCCCGAGACCTTCTTCCCGGGACCCCCGTGGCCGGGAGAGGCCCCTGGCTGTTTTTCAGGAGCCCCGGGCGGCAGAGCCCACAGAGGAGAGCTGAGTTTGGGGCTCGTGGCGGCCCCCGGGCTCTCGGCCAGCTGCCTGCCAGAGGCTGGACTAGAACCTCGGTTTGTTTCAGCAAAACTGGCTTGTTTCCGGGGACCCTCATCTTCGGGCCCCTCCTTCAGGCTCCTCCGCCTCCGCTCCACCCCGCCTCGCTGGCCTGGCCGCTCCTGGGCCCAGCCAGGCTCTGCGGGCGGCCCCTCCGTCCGCTCCGGAGCCTCCGGCTTCTTGTACTCGGCCATCAGGGCGTCTATGTCAAGAACGCTGGATCTGTAGCCACCTGTGACTTTGCCCGGGGACGTCTCGCTGACCACCTCGCTCCTCCTTCTGACGAGGGGGTCCCCGGCTTTGGGGCAACTCTGGAAAGCCGGGATGGTTTGGGGAGCGCGACTGGGGGACGTCTTGCTCCCACCTTCCCTCCAGTCATTCTGAAACCCAGTGCGGCCTTCTGGTCGCCGATGGACACACACAGCATCTGCATCGAAGATTCTCTCGGTGGAAAGATCCAGAATCCTGTCCCCAGGAGGCGATGGAACATCTGTTGGCTTGAGCGTGTTTGAAAAGCTGGCGCTGTCACGCTCTCTGCCCGGCGCCCGGCTCTTACTGCCCATGGTCTCCAGTGGCTCTTCAGGGTTGGGAGAAACCAACGTGGAAGTTAAAGGATGAGGCGATGGAGGCGGAGCTATTTTTCTAGAATGTTCCGTCAAGCTTTCGGGCCCTGGCTTAACAACACCCTTTGCTTTTTGAGCATCGGGAATCTGATATGTCACCGCAAAAAAGGTGGCCTTGGGTTCCCCAGATGACCCTGGGCTCACAGCTGGGAGGGCCGGGTCCTGGGCCTCCGCCCTGTTACGGGATGGCTGCCGTTTCCTCGCGGCGCCCGCGGTGGGGCTCAGATAATCGGGGCCCGGCTGCTCCCCCTCTGAAGCCAGGAAGCTGAACTCCTCAAACTTCACGTCGTGGGGCAATGTCCGCCGTCTCCACTTCTCGAATCTCTGGTCCCCGGGGCTCCCCCTCCGCATCCTGACTTCAGGCTCCGGGGCCGGGGCCGGCCTCCACTCACCCTCCCCGGCAGCCACCACTCGGGGCCCTTTCTGCACAAGCCCGTCGGTGGGTGGCCGTGCTCGGAGGTCAGAGGGCTCAGCCTTGGCTCTGGAGGGGGCGTCGGGAGGGCAGCCGCGGGGAGCAGCCCTTTCTCCCGCAGAAGCACAGCCTCCTGGCTTGTTCCTGGCCCCTTCGGGCCCCTGGTGCTGGGCCTCGCTGCTGGCGGCCTGGACGGTCCTCACACCGGCGGCCTCAGGGCCACAGGGCCTGGCCGAGCGCTCGCTGGGGACTGCAGGGCTGATGTCATCGCTGACCACCAGCGTGGCTCTGTGCCAGCCCCCGGCCGCCCCACCTCTCCACTTGGGCGACAGGCCACTGCCCCCGAACGTGCCCTGCGGCTCTCGGGGGTCCGGGATGGGCCCGCTGACCTCCTGCGTCCCTTGGGCTTCCCACATCAGACTGGCCCTTTGGACGGAGCCCGCCTGACTGTCCGGCCTGCGCTCTGGGTCGGCAGGGGCGACCTCGGGGGACAGCTGCCTCCCCTTCAGCGAGAGACGGGACCTGCTGCTGCCGCTCCGGAGCTCCACGGCTTTCTCCTCCGGCGCCGTGGGGACAGCCTCACTGTGCGCACGCTCCCCCACTGTGTGCATGACGTCGTACTTGGGCTCAACCCTCTGTGACCTGGGGGGGTGCTCCAAGCCCTTCAGGAAGGGGTGGCTACCGCGTTTCTCGCCCAGAGGGGGCCTTTCCGGGAGAGGCGTGTGATCCTGTTTGGGGTCACCATTCAAGAGGGGGGTCCGTCCCCCTCTCTCGGTGTCGGGGTTTTCCGACCACTGGGAGTTCTCTCTCTTGAGGGTCGTCTTTTCCGGAGGGTCCTTCCCCAGCCACGAGCCTCTCTTGGGCCTGAGTCGGGGCTCCGAGACGTGGGTCACAGCACCAGGGGCGGTGGCTGGGGGATAGCGTCCCGACTGGTCAGCCACCGTGTGTCTCTCCACGTGATGCTCAAACACTGTGGCCCTCACGGTCTGGAAGCTCCCCTCGTCTTCCGGGGCGCCGTCCGAGGAGCTCGGGGCCCCCGCCGAGCCTGCCCCGCGACAGCTGGTGGGAACCTGGTTAGAACTGTCCTTCCGCGGTGCCTGCCTGGACTTCTCCCCGGGCGTCCCCGGCTTCCAGGGGCTCCTTGGAGCAGATGCTCCGTCCAAACCAGGCCCTTCCTTTTGCTGAAAAAAAAAAAAAAGAAAAAGGAGAAACTTAAGTTAAAGGATTCGAAATGGAAAGGAAGAGGGGAGGTCGCTGAAATGGCTGCTTTTAAAATCATAAACCGTAACAATTTAAAGACGGAACCGTCCAATGTGGGTGAGGATGTGGGGAAACGGACACGCTCGGACGCTGTTGGAGAGAAAGTAAAAGTCGTGCCGACTTTTGGACAATTCAGTGTATCTGTCATGATTTTAAAATTCTCATTTCCTTTCATCTGGCCAGTTTCCTCTCAGGATTCCTTCTTCGCTCATGAGCACAAGTCTCCGTGAGCAAGAAAGCTCAGACCGCACTGTCTGTGAAAGCAAATGAACACAGACAACGTTGAGTGCCCGTCTGAAAGGCGGTGGCTCAGTCCATTTTGATCCATCCAAACGATGGAGGACCACACAGGCCCTTGCGTCCCCAGGGGGGTGGGCCCCACTGTCCTAGCACCCAAGACACACACAACATCCCTTCGATGGGAGAAAAGCAGCTGCAGGACAGTATCTTTATGATTTAAGACCATCTTTTAAAAAACTGCACCTGCCCTAACCGGTTTGGCTCAGTGGATAGAGCAACGGCCTGCGGACTGAAGGGTCCCGGGTTCGATTCCAGTCAAGGGCATGTACCTTGGTTGCGGGCACATCCCCAGTAGGGGGTGTGCAGGAGGCAGCTGATCGATGTTTCTCTCTCATCGATGTTTCTAACTCTCTATTCCTCTCCCTTCCTCTCTGTAAAAAATCAATAAAATATTTTTTTAAAAAAATAAAATAAAAATAAAAAACTGCACCTGTGTGTATACACAGGTAGATGGACAGTGGAGTAAAGATATAAATCGAATTGTGAGTAGGAGGAAGGAATAAAGATGAAAAAAATCATCTTTTAATCCGACATACTTTGGTTCTGTTTGATTTTCATAACATGCATGTACTACTTAGTAATTTTTTTTTTTTTCTGTTAGAGCTAAGTCTACTTCAGCAAGTTAAAAAAAGAGAATTAACCACAGGACCCACCAATTCCATTCCTGGGTATGTAACCCAAAGGATTAAAAGCAGGTGGTTCAGGGCACATACAACACTCAACCAATGAATGCATAAGTAAGTGGAACAACAAACAAATTGATGTTTCTCTCTCTCCCCCGCCCCCACTTCCTCTCTCCCTAAAGTTAATTTTAAAAAAGAAAAACAAGTTTTCAAACATATACAAAATTACAGAGATAATAGTAAGTTCGCCTCAACCTATCCCCTAAATTCAACGACAGTAACATTTCACCCAACTTGCTTCACGTGGCTCTTTCTGTTCTTGCCGTTGTTGCCATTAGAGTATTCTGATGTGACTACAAGGAGTTTTATTTGCAATGGGCCCCAAACTGGAAACAAACCAAAGGTCCATCAAAGGATGAATAGGAGCCGAAACCGGTTTGGCTCAGTGGATAGAGCATCGGCCTGCGGACTGAAGGGTCCCAGGTTCGATTCCGGTCAAGGGCATGTACCTGGGTTGCGGGCACATCCCCGGTAGGAGATGTGCAGGAGGCAGCTGATCGATGTTTCTCTCTCATCGATGTTTCTAACTCTCTATCTCTCTCCCTTCCTCTCTGTAAAAAATCAATAAAATATATTTTAAAAAAAAAAGGATGAATAGGATACACTGTGGTTGGCCCATACAATGGAATACTACTCAGCAAAGAAAAGGAGTGAATTATTAATGCGCACTACAATGTGACGAATCTCAAAATAACTATTCTGAGTGAAAGAAGGAAGACCGAGGGGGGAAAAAGGAGCACTGGTTCCATTTATAGGACAATGTAGAAAATGCAAACGAATCTATTGCAACAGCAAGCAGGTCAGTGGTTGCTCGGAGGAGGAGGAGGCGGAGGGAGGGATTTCGAGGAGGAGGGAACTGGGTGTGCCAGATGCCGGTTATCTGGGTTGTGATGGCAGCTTCACAGGTGTGCAGGACACACGTCGAACTCTCCACCTGTACGCTTTCCATGTGTGTTCCCTGTAGGTCAGTGATACCTCACTAAAGCTGTTTTAGAAAGCTACAAGTCTGCCGAAGGGATTATCCACAACCCAGTTACACCTTGGAGTTCTTTTATGAGTTTTTTTCTTACGAAATGAACTAAATAAAGGTACTTTTTGAGCAATTTAATTTCCCTCCTGTGGCTGCTAGGTGAAAGTCAGGGTTGAGAAGGAAGCAGGGACCATAATTCGGGAAATTGAAGGGGTTTCTATGAACGTTTTTTAAGCTTTATTCATTTCTTTCTTTTAATAATATATTTGTATTGATTTCAGAGAGGAAGGGAGAGGGAGAGAGAGAGAAACATCCATGATACGAGAGAAGCATGGATCAGCTGCCTCCTGCACGCCCCCTATGTGCCCTGACCGGGAATCGAACCTGTCACCTCCTGGTTCATAGGTCGATGCTCAACCACTGAGCCACGCCGGCCGGGCAGCTTTATTAATTTCTTAACAAAGCAGGCATTCTCACAGAGGAAATCCCTCTGTGCACAGAAAAAATACAGACCTGGCGATCGAGTTTGTAAAAAGCATTTAACACGAGGGAACGGGGGCTCGCGGCTAGCATGCCGGAAGGGACGTCAACAGTCCCGGCTTTCGAGGGAAAACTGTCTTATTGTTCGTGAGATTCTTTCTGGGTCTCGTAGGTCAGAAAAGCCCTTCCGGTAAGTGTAGCTACCAAACACAGCGACTCCTCACCTTTTCTCTCGGCTCCTTAGCAAGCTCGCCACTCGGCTCCGAGCACCTCTCATACTTGACTTCACTGCTTGAAGCTGAGCTTGAAAACCTGGGACAGAGATCCAGGTACAGAGATCCAGGTTACGTGGCTGGGCCAGCAGCGGCGACTCCCTCCATCCCACACCCCACAGCCAGCTCGGGGACCCAGGGTGGAATCGGAGATCATCCAAGCAACAGTGCCCGGTTTGCTTTGAGAAAAGACATTTCCTTTCTGGTCACCAGACCAACAGAAAAGCACCCAGGAGGGATGGCCTACCTTACACACAGCATCACCGGGGTACCAGGAGCCCCAAGCTGGGGGGAGGAGATCTGGGTGCTAATGCCAGCTCTACCCACCTCCCACCTCGGGAGCTTGGGTCAGGCTTGTGACCTCACCTGAGCCTCTGTCTCTTCATCTATAAAATGGGGATAATTAACACCTCCCCATTGCCTTTTGTAGGGCGGATAGGAGGCTACCCCAAGCCCTAATAGCTACCCGAGGGCGTTCAGGGAAGACCCAGGATGCCCCGGGAGGAATAATTAATGGTTGTTGTTAGCAACCACAGGCACAACAGCAGCCCCACTGCACACCGGTCACGGGACTGGACTGGGGGGATGTGTGGGGGCACGGGCCTGTCTCTGCCTCCCCGGGTGACTTTGGCCAAGTTATTGTCCCTCTCTGGGCCTGTTTTCCCACTTATGAAGGGGAAGAGAAAGAAAGGGGAGTTCTGAAAAGTTCCTTAGAGTGGATGCCTAAAGATTAGTTTGCGGGGCGGGGGGAGGGAGGCCGCAGAGGAAAGAAAGGAGAGAGAAATCAAACCTCTGAAACCTGACCCACACTTGGAGCCTCAGTTTATCCATCTGTCCAGTGGGATTAATCCAAGGCGCTGCAGGGAGAGGAGGCCTGTGAGGTCCCTGACACTGGTGCCCCTTTCTCTGTTATATGAGCTCAGGGGTTCTCAGGCCCTCACATGAGAATCACCCCGGAAGCTTTAAAAACAACCAAGCGAAGAGCCCCTCTCCCTAGACCCACTGAATCAGAATCTCGGGAGGTGGGATCCAGGCACTGCTATTTTTTCTCGGTGATTCTAAATGCTGAGAGCACCGGTCTAATTCTGGCCCAGCTGGCTGCCCTAGTTCCCAGGGCTGGGAGGGCAGTCTGCCCAGAGGTCCTGCCCCCTGGAAGCTCCATCCCTAACAGAGTATGTCAGTGGCATGCATGTCATTACTGAGCTAGTGGACACGCCCAGTGGCATCTCCCTGTTGTAAGCAAGAAGCCATTTGTGGGAAAACAAAGGCACAAGAGATATCAGAGGCCGGGAGAGCTTAGAAAATGACCACTAACTAACAGGGTTAATAATATCATTTAAAGCTACAATGCATTGAGGGCTTTCCACGGGCAGAGTGAGTCCCAGTATTATGCTCTGGGTCTTTACCTTTAAGAAAGGTCTTAGTATCATGAGATGAAGAAATCGAGGCTCAAGAGATCTTGACCCATCTGGTTTTATTTTGCCGGCCACTCGTGGAGGTTTCGGCCATATATTAGGTGACCACAGACTTTAGGAGAAGAAAGCTTAGCTATGGAGACAGGCTGAGCTGGAATACATCGACTTCCTCACGGTCCTTCACCTTTCCTACCCCAATCTGTGAAATGGGCACAATATCTCCCCAGTGCAAAGATGAGAAGAGACAAGAAAACCGAGCTCCTGGCCCCACTGCTGGCACGCGCCTCATCTGAGAAATGGCAGCTAACGCCACTTCCTCTTGAGGCTGCGGGTGAACCCAGAGAGGAGGTAAGGTGCCCAGCACGGACCTGGGGCCTGCAGTGCCTCATCCCAGGGGGGGCCTCTGGTGGGTGGTTTGAGGCAGCTCGGGGACAGAATGAACCCCATGAGACGTTCCCACTCACAGTTTGGTCATATCCGCCGACAGGGGCCGAGCCTGGAACGCCCTCCTCCTGACCTCCGGCTTGACCTTGGAGCTCTCGGTGGCCCAGCCTTTGATCCGATCCTGGACGCTCAGTCCCGCTTTCTCGGGCTCTGGAGCAGCCGATGGGGACTCAGGGGTGGCCAGTGGGGGTTCAGACCCCACGGCCAAGGCGCTTTCCTCCCCAAACAGGCTGAGGCGCTTCTTGACGCTGCCCCTGCAGACCCACTCTCCCCGGGTCCGGATTTCCCCATCGGACGCTCTGCTCTTGACCTCCGCGCTCTCTCGACCTTGGCTCGGCCTGGGCGAGGGGGACTCGGGAGCCTTGTCTGGCTCTGTGTCCAGCCTGGCTTTCTCTTCCCCGGGCTTCGGGTCGTCTGCGGGGGTGACCCTGGCCGAGCCCCCCGCAGTTCTGAGGCCGCCCAGCTCGGCCTGCTTGGAAAGCGCCTTCTCCTTCCGTTCTCGGATCTTCTTGGCCACCTCCAGGAAGTCGGAGTCTGGGTCGGGGAGGGGAGCCTCTGCTTTGACCGGACACTCCCCGTCCACGCGGGGCTCCGGGTGGGGCCTCTCGGGTCCCCGGCGCTGGCCGGAGGGACCTGCGGTGGCCTCGCCAGCGGCCTTCCTCAGCGAGGCCTCTCTGCTCTCGAACGGGGCCGTGAGGTCCATGGACAGAGGCCGGGGCCTCCTCACCCACGTCTTCTCGGGCGGGGTGGGGGGCGCTTTCCCCCCCGCAGCCGCCCCGCCCGGGCCCGGCCTCGGAGGCTGGATGGAGTCCGTGAAAATCGCGGACACAGGCCTTCTCTTGGGGCGAGGCTGGGGCTCCCCCGCGGGGCTGTCCGTGTCCCCCACGCTGCTGGCCTTGGAGAGGGGCTCCCTGGGGCCCGTGTCCTCTCGGGGGGCGGCCGGCCTGGTGTCCTGTGACAGGGAGGCAGGTCGGGGCAGGGTCCCCCCAGGCCTCCGGGCAGGCAGGGCGGGCTTGGCGGCCACTTCAGGCCTCGAGCCCGAGGGGGGCTCCTGAGTCACCCCCGCCTTGGCCTCGGGGGCCCCCTCGCTGAGCCCCTTGCCCAGGACAGGGCCGGCTTTGGTGGTTTCGAAGAGGAACAGGGTGCTGGCGCTGGGCCGCAGGAAGGCGGCCTTGGGGAACAGGGCCGAGCCGCTCCGCAGGCCTCCGTCGCCCGCCTCCTGCCCCCCCAGGCTGGGCATCTTCTCGCCCGGGTCCTTTGCCGCCGCGTCCTGGGGCGACCCACAGGAGGGAGAGGGCCTGGCCGGGCTGGGCCCCGGGGACTTCACGGCCGGGGCCTTCTCCTTGAAGAAGGGCTTGGGGGCGAGTCTGGGCAGAGGGAGCAGGCGTGCGGGGCTCCTGAGGGGGCTCTTTCCTTCCAGGAGCCGGGCTGAGGGGGTCCCCGAGGGGTCGCCCGCCTGGCGGAAGTAGGTCCGCGTCAGGGTCTCCTCCTTGGCGATCTCCCCGAGGCCTGGCACTCCTGGCAGGGGCGTGATGGAGCCGACCTCCACCCGCGTCACCATGGTTACGGTTGTGGATCCATGGGGATTCTAAACATCCGAAATGGAGAAGCCACCGCTAGAAAAAAAAAAAAGGGAAATTTAAAATTCAGTCAGCGTCCGGTTGGGTCGAAGCAGCTGGAGCCCCGAGTTCTGGACAACAACTCCCCACTGACTTCGCCGGGCAAGCCAGGGCCAGTCCCTCCATCCCTCTGAACTGCGGGCTGTTTCTGAAGTTCCTTCCAGATCAAAGGGCGGGGGGAAGGCGCCAACATTCTCCAGGACTTTCCCCTGCGCTCAGCTCAAGGTAAGGAGGGCTTATCTCTGCTGTGCAGATAAGGGAGTCGGCTCAGAGAGGCCAAGCCACTGGCCTGAAGTCACTCAGAGAGCACGAGGCAACGTCAGGATGTGCCACTCAACACTGCGCGCTCCTGGCATCAGCCCCCCTGACAGCACCCTCGAGTTCCCGGTCTCCTGTCACCATGTTCCCACTTCAGAGCCGGCCCACCCGGCCTCAGGCATCCTAGCTGAACCCCTCACCAGCCTGTGCAGGGCGCCACGCTCAGAGAGGGTAAGTGGCCAGCCCCAGCTCACACAGCTGCCCAAAGCCAGAGCCCCTGAGGTCATAGAGGTGATGGATGGGCCACAGAGCCCAAGCCTCAGCCCCCAACCCCAAGGCCGGCCCTTTATCTTCCCCTCGCCCACCCTTCTAGATGCCTTCAGAAGAGCCACCTTGACTTTGCACTCACCTAGGGTTCCTATTTGCCTTTGGGCTCTTTTCTAGTGGATGCCTACTTCTCGCTGGCTGTCATCATAGTCTCAGTAAGAGTCACAGCTCATGGCAAGGGCACACATACCACGAATGAGGGCTTGAAGTAAGCCGAGGGCTCCCTGTGTTTTAGAAATCATATCGTCCTCACAACGCTCCGATGTTTACCAGACCTCATTATGCGGCTCGGGCACAGCCCCTTGTCCGTCCAGCTATGTAGGACCTGCTCTCTCAAAGCAGGAGCCCTCTTCTCTCATTAATCCTCCGACAACCCCCAGGGGCAGGTATGATCGGTATCTCCATTACAGAGATCAAGGGAAAGGGCCCAGAGAGGTCGTCTGACCTGCCTACATCACACAGCTAAAACGCGACCTCAGGTCCTCAATCCATTCAACTCTGCCTTTTTGAAAAATTATGTTTTATTCCTTTCTGGGTCTTAAAAAGTGCCAGACGAGTCACTGTTCTTGATTCCTCCCCCACCCTGTCCCCACCTTCAAACCAGAGTCCCCTTTCCCCGAAAACCTGCCCCCTGCCTGCCCCCACCTAGATGGACTAACATTGGAGGGGGTTTCAGTTTGCTGCAAGCCTCCCGCTCCCCTCCCGAGGCCCCGCACGGCTGCCCCCGGCTCTGACTCACTCGGCAGCCTGCGGGAGAGAAAGGCAGACAGATTTTGATATTTTTCTCTTCCTTACACGCTCGATGGTGCTAACAGATTCCTTCTCCCCAAACCAGAGAACGCTGCCTAGACACGTCAGAAGCAGAAGAGAGGGACAGAGATGGAGAATCAGGGAATCTGACAGAGGGAGAATTCTACCTGCAGTGACACCGGGGGTCCTGCCTGCAATCAGGGCTGTCCACCTTCAGAGCCAGCCCCCGGGACCTCTGGCAGCCCTGCCCAGGGTCACAGACACAGCCCGAACATGAGACACAGCAATGACAGGACTCCAAGGACAGAGAGAAAATTCCCGGCAGAACTCGCAGGCGCCCTCCACCCCCTGGACCCTCCAGCCCCACTTACCCAAGCCGGCAGGCCCTGGCTGGGGATGTGTGACCGCCAGAGAAAGCCAATGGTGTCACCTCTCATCGCCAGCAGGGCTGTCCCCACGCTCCCATGGCAGGAGCCTATGGGGGGTGGGGATAAGAGGGGGGAAGACTCGTCCCTGCAGGCTGGGTTTCCGCAGGACTGGGGAGACAGGGACGGCAGCCTCGGTTCCAGCGATTTGTGCACAGACGGTACAAAAGCTCTGGAGCTCCAACTGCGTCCGCTGGCATCTCCCCCAGCCTGTCAAACTCACGCTCCTTGCGGCTTTTCAATAGTGCAGCCTTACATATACATGTGCATAAACAGTGCTGAGTCCACAGTAGGTGCTCAGTAAAAACTCCCCCGTTTCTCTGATACATGTTTACTGAGCACCTACTATGTGCACAGAGGTGAACAAGAAACATCCCCTGCTTTCGGGGGAACTCACAGTCTTGTGTGGGAAACACACACACGCAATGGGCAATAAGCACCCATCATGGTCTATAAAGGGGTACATGGGAGCACAGGGCGAGGAGGATTAACCGCCTAGAGTCGGTAGTGGTTCTGGAAGGCTCCCTCGGCGTAGTGGAGGTGACTCCTGAACACTCAGGTGCTGGCTGATTTGGGAGCTGTTTCTCCTGGTTCTGCTCAGTAGTGTTTGTACGTTGCATCTCTTGGTTCTCAAATGCTGCCTCAGGGCCTTTGCACATGCTGTGCCTGCTCTCTGAGAGACCCCTCTTGTGCAGGCACAGGCCCACCCCTAAGATCACAGCTCAGACATCCCTGTCCCTCTCCAACCTAGTACAATCTCCCTCTTCCATATCCACGGATACTCGGCAGGCTTCATCCATAGCTACAGTTACATTTAATAATAGTGCTTTAGTTCCCTGGTAAGCCCCCAGAGGGCACCCTGAATCCCCAGTAGCCAGCACAGTGGCCTGGCCCATCATAACACCAATTACATAATTACTGAGTGTGAGAAAGAGAGAAACATCGATGTGAGAGTGAAACATCGACTGGCTGCCTCCTGCACACCCCCTACCAGGGATCGAGCCCGCAATCTTTCGGTGCACAAAACGACACCCAATCAACTGAGCCACACAGGCCAGGGCGAGCCATCTCTTTTTTAATCATCATGGAGGTCGCCCTGGGGGACAGACCGGGTGCAAGGCTGGCCTGGGAGGTCAGGAGGCTGCACTAGACCAGGAGACACAGGATGTCAGTCAGACCTCAAGCACCTGGAGCAGAGGGTGGGGACGGGTACGTCTCTGCTTTTGCTAAACCTGCCAAGTCCTCAGGCTTGATTTCACTGAACTGATTTGCAAAATTTAAAATTCCATTTCCTATGATTTCATGCAGAGAAAACCATTTTCCCTGGGAATTGAGTCACTGAGACCAATAGCTGCTGAAATTTGACAGGTATCTCTCAAGGGCATTCATTCATTCGTCCATCCTTCCGACCCTCCTCCCACAAACCAGGCCCTGGGCTCGGTGCTGGGGGTGCAGCCACGGAGCTCCAAGTCTCCGGGGAAATCCGAGAGAAGCGCACCGGGAGGAGGCCGGAGAGCTGCTTCCATTCAAAACCCAACAGTTTGGCAGCTTTTCCGCTCAGATTCAGAGGCGTTGATTCATTCTAACAGCTGTTGCCAATTCTTCATAATTATACCCTCGAATCCGATCTGGGAGCTCACCAGTCATTCACTCAGCCATCTCTGGGTGCCGTTCCCTGGGAATGCCACCATCTGGTGAGGGGTGCGAGCCAGTCCTGACACCCTGCAGTATCTTCCGGAATACGACCCGGCCTCCCCAGTCTGCATCTGTGTGGGGCACTGTGCAAAGGGCCACGTGCATGCCCGGGGCCTCCCAGAGGAGCCAGGACGCAGGAAGTGTGTGTGGTTCATCCATCCACAGGCCCCAGATGGAAACAGCCCAGTGCCTCACGTCACTGGAATGCAGGCATCCTCTCTTCTCCATCCCCATGGCTGCTTCCTTAGCTCATTCATTCATTGAGCACCCACTATGTCCTGAGTTCTGGGGACACATATCCAGAAAGCCTTGTTCCTGTGGAGCTGATAGTCACGGAAAGGGGAACAGGCCCCGGCCAACGACACACCTACGTTGCAGGCTTGATCCCCAATCAGGGCACACATTAAGAAGCAACCAATGAATGCACAGCTAAGTGGAACAACAAATCAACCTCTCTCTCTCTCTCTTCCTCTCTCTCAAATCAAAAATTAAACAAAATTTGTTTGAAAGAAGAGGGGAACATAAATGAACATAAATAAGCAAGATGTACAGAATGTTAGATACATGACAATAAAGAAGGGACAAGGGGAAAACTTCACTGAGAAGAGACATTTAAAATCCGCCCTCCCCGCTGACATGCCTCCAATCTGCTCTCCTAGCAGCAGCCAGAGTGATTCTGACTGGCGAGCACCACCATGTCACCCTCCTGCGCAAAGCCCATGCAGTCTCCCCACCGACCTCTGGATAAAGGTCAAACTCCTTCCCTGAGGCCCGGGAGGATCTGGCTCCTCTTCATCTCACCAGCTTCAGTCTAATGATCGACACCTCCCATCCATCCGTCCGTCCGTCTGTCTGCCTCTCACATGCACTCACATACTTACTTCAGCACAACGACCCCAGACAGGTCACAAGACACGCTGCGCTTTCCTTCACTTCCAAGCCTCCACACTGCCATTTCCTACGACCTGGCTGATCTCTAGCCATCCCTCAATTTTCAGCTCCAAGCTGCTGCCTCCTCCAGGAAGCCCTCCCGGATGCCCCAGGGCAGGTTCAGGTGACTCCTGGGAGCCTGGTATCAAACTCCTGGTACTTCTCCCTCGCCCAGCACTGGTGGCACACCTGGTAACTGCCTCTGTTTCCTCCACTGGACTGGGAGCTCCTGGCCAGGAGGGACCTGGGTCCTGTTCACAGCTGTATTCCCAGGGTCTGACCACCACACTGGACATAACATCAGTGTGCCAAAAATACGTGAAGGGAGAGCATCCTTGAGAGAGGAAAATAATAATATCCAGTGCAGGCGTGGGTGTGGAGAAATTGACATGCTCATCTGCTCCCAGGGCCAATGTAAGTCATAAAAGCAATTTGGCAATATTCACTTCCAACTAATATTTTTTTGAGTCAGGCACCCTACCAAGGGACTCTGTGCACTTTCTGCCTTCTCCCATTTAACACTCTCAACAACCTTGTGCCTTTCAAATTATTACCGTTCTACAGATGAGGGAAACGCAGTTCAGGAGGAGCCAGATCCCACACTAGTGAAAA